TGAGCATTCGGGTCCGAATTGGATTTGGATGCGTCCAAGCGTCTCCAAGCAGAGACATCTCGTTTTAGCGATGCTCAAGCGATACTGGAAGGGGGGGGGGAAGAAGGACAAGGGAAGGAAAGAGGCGTTGAAGTCTCTCGCCGTCGTATGAACATTGGGTTGTCATGTACTGGAAGGAAAACATTACTTCACTCTTTCCCCTTTATATTTTTGTCTGCTCTCGCTACCGGGTCTCAGAAGTGCATGGTATATATTGCTCGCGAGACTCTTCGAGACACGGGCTTCTGTAACCGAGTTCACTTTCCTCGAGAGAGGCTTCGCAACCTCGTCGCCAGTCACTGATAACCTGAAAGAGGATTTCCCTCCGACCGCGTTTGTTGCGTCGCGCGAAGGGGCTGGTGTCGCTCTGGAACCTGGTCGAAGGAAGAGAGAGACACCCTCGGCTGAACGTCCCGATGCTCCTCGTTCCGGCCACGATCAGCAACAACGTGCCGGGGACTGACGTCACCGTCGGATCCGACACGGCGCTCAACGACGTCGTGGAGGTCTTTCGCGTTCCTTCGCTCTCTCTCTCTCTCTCTCTCGGTCGAGACCGTCTGGGCATTGTTCGTTTTGCGGCGGTGCGGGAAGGTGTGCGATCGGCTGAGGAAGTCGGGGCAGGGACTCAGGCGTCGCCTCTTCGTCGTTCAGACCATGGGCGGGTATTGCGGCTATCTGGCCACCATGGCAGGTTCGTTCCTGTCTCGAGGAAAAGGTCATCGCGTGACCCGAAAATCGGCGTGGAGAGATGGCGTTCGTATTCCCTAGGGCTGGCAGGGGGAGCAGATGGAGCGTACATCTTCGAGGAGAAATTCACAGCGAAGGATCTTCTGGACGATGTTCACAAGATGGCCGCCAAATTGGAGAATTCCTACGATCGAGGCATTATTCTTAGGTTCTTTCTTTGTATTTCCAATTTTATTTTCTCATTCTATTCTTACTTGAGCAGTTTTGCATTCCACCATCGTAATTCAGCTTAATTTACAAGCACTCATCAATTCATTTTCATCCAATGATTATTATGCTTAAATTTTCACATTCTGTATGTTATTATTATTTCATTACTTTTGAGCCTTTCCTTCCTTCTCCTTCCACACGAACGGATCCACGTCGTGGTGGAACAGGAACGAGAACGCGAACGCGAATTACACGGTGGACTTCATGAACCGGCTGTATTCGGAGGAAGGAAAGGGGATTTTCTCCTCACGGGCTCACGTCATCGGTACGAAGAAATCCTCGTTTTCTCGTCCCATGCGCAAATAACGAAATGATTCTTTCTGCAGGGCCTTTCAGTCGCATCAGGAAGCCAGAAAGATAAAGGCTTCGACTGACATGTGAATGCGTGCTGATGCAGTAAAAATTAAGCACAATTCATGAGTTATCCGCAAAAATATACTTTACTATGCTAGATATTATGGCCTGAATGCATAAACCTCATGTGAGGGAAATAAAGTGGCCGTTAAAGCAATCAGCTCTTTTTCCTCCATTGGAGTTCATGTATTCTTAAAGGACCATTAACTAATGGAGGTTTCAGCATTCGGGCCAACATTTTTTTACAAGGAATTTATTAACCGTCTTCTTAAGCTCATATTACTTCCCCACGTTCCTTTAGGGTAGGTAGTATAGAAAAAGTTGAAGCATTTTGACGGGGTATTGCGAATCAGGTCACACTCAGCAGAGCGGAGTGCCGTCTCCGTTCGACCGCCACCTGGCCACGAGCATGGCATCCCTGGCATACGAGTTCCTCGCAGGGAAGCTGGAGGAGGCGAGCGGAGGGAAGGGCAGGAAACCAGATCCCGATTCCGCCGTCGTCCTTGGGCTGGTGAAGGACGGATTCGTCTCGACTCCCGTCTTCCGGCTCGAGTCGCGCGCCGACGTGGCGTGAGTCGACGCGGCTCCGCGTTTCTGACGTTCCCTCGGCCGCTTCTCGTTCTGCCACGCGAGCGAGTGGTGTCAAACGATCGATGAGAGCGATAACGTTTAACCACCACGTGATAAGAATTTCCCAGGTCCTTATCTCCCTATTGAGTTTCCACGTGGGCGGAAAAGAGGGAGGATTATCTATGAATCACAGAAAATCGTCGCAACAAGATTTAGACGTGCGGCGGAAGGCACACAGGGATCGTTCCTTTACATTCCCTCACGGCGCATATTATCGAATGGGGTTCGGTATCTTTTGCTTTCGGTCGGTCAGTATCTGATGTCACGGGAAAGAAAAGATCCCCAACCACGTACTTAAGGAGCTCCGGAAGTACAGAACCGTACCTATTGAGACTTCGTATAATTCAAGATCTGGGTAACAAAAAGAAAAAAAAAAGGGGGGGGGGGGGGATTTNCCGGATGTCGGACGTCAAGCGATCGAGAGTGGGAAAAAAAAAGAAAAAAAAAAAAGGGGGGGGGAGTATTTCGAGTTAGGACTTCGTGCTAGAACACGACGAGTTGTTTCGGACAGGGGCATTCTGCACTGCAACTCATATTGCGATTAATTTATTTAATTTACGATAGAATGTGGTTGAGCCAGAAAGAGATTTCACTCCGTCATCACCCACAACTGCCAACGCGTCACCTGGGCTATCGCGTGCAATCGAAGAATGGTGAATACCCCCTGAGGGATTCGGATGCTACGCTTTCGAATTCACTTTCCTCACCATTTACGTGGAATCCGCTTTCATCTATGGCCTAAAGGCCGTTTCACAATTCGCGTCTCTTGCGTGCGATTCAGAGATGCATGCGGCTTGCGCATCTGTATGCGTTGGAGTGCAAAGGAACACTGGTGTGCACGCACGACCCAATGAGCTCTGAGGAGGTCCAAGTGAATCCTTGGGGTTTCCAAGGCTGACTCGGGGGGGCAAAATGGGACCATCCAAGGAAGCACTTCACAGGAAGGGTAGCAGAAAAAGTCATCCGTGTCCATTTTATTTCCTCTACTTGATTGTTATAATGTATGTTTTTCCATCATATCCTCCATGTATGAACCTAACAGGAGCTCAATGGTGATGAGGTTAAACATATCACGCCTTCTTGTACATATTGTATCCAACTTGCACTGAAATATTAGCCGATTTCAGTGTGCATGTGGTAGAAAATGAACTCTAAAATTCAACACCATCCAGCGTAGAACTGTGCTAAAGGGATTACCTGCTCATTCTGAAACCAATCAATTAGCAAAAACATTTTTGTGAGTCCAACAAATCCCAAATGATACAGATTTCTATCCATTCAGGGGATCTGTAAGGAACATAAATTCATTTTGGAAATCGCACAAGGCTTGCATCAGTATTTTGCATCTCTGTGCAAGGATTCACATTTCCCAGCATTTTCTTGATTGGATTGGCAATCAAGGCAATATGGTACATTATGGTATGGGGTGCTATTAGATCCATGCTGATTAAAATTAAAGAATTTCCTTAAGGGTTTAGGTAGTACATATTCATGTTGTTTCAGGTGTTTAGGGCTCTAAATCCATGAATGATGGGTTTGAAACATTTATGACTCATATAATACACCCAATAAGGTAGAAATCCTGTCAAAAAATGTATTGCTAGCAAAGCTATGAATATATAGCACCCCTATACCTCCTGAAGAACTATCTATGCAAAATATGGCTACAAGTATTTCACCAGTAAATCAAAGTGATACTTGTGTGTGTCAAGTTCTCATGCAACACCTCAAATATTGAGTAATTTTTACATTAAAATTACTTTCCTCTTAAAATTGCATCCTCAAACTGCAGAATTCAATTTATAATAATTAATATCAGATGTTTCCTAGTGAATCACCTCTCAATGGTCTGCAAACAGGAAGCATTATGAAGCCTTCAATAAAACAAGCACAGGCAAAAGACAAATGGCTGCCTGGTTCTGGTAGTAACTTCATCTTTCTCTTGTCTAAGACAAATACTGTTTCCCAGCACCTTAAAACAAAGCTACTAAATGGCTACTTCATTCCAAGGCTAAATTTGCCAAGAACATGCCAGGTTTTAGCAAAAAATTAGTACACATCCCTGATGACTGAATAAAAACTGAGCTCCTGGCCATCTTACTGATTTTGTTACTTTTCCAGATACCGACTGCCAAGAGATCAGTGGTGGATGTCACTGAGATCCCTGGTCAAGATACTTGGAAGAGTGACGTCTGTGGAAGAGGTTAAAAACACTACTGGAAAGAGATATCCTAAATTTGGCAATAGGAAGATCTAGGAAAAATGAAAAATGCAATTACTGCACTTTTAATGTCACCTTTATTGTTCCTCCCATTTGTGAGAGGAGTTGAACAAGGAATGGATGTGGAGAACTTGGAGAACTATGACTTTCATGGCAAATGCATCTGAATAGTGGATCAAAGATCACAAGATGGATTTTGAAGCAAAAGCAAAGAGAACCGTATGTCATCTCTTCTCTTCATGCTGCTGGGGAGAAAAAGACCATGCAAGGACGCTAGGTTGAAACGCTAGCAGATAAATCAAGACACGTTCAGATAAGAATGAGCATAGAAATGTATGGTATCTCTCTGCTCCAATAGCTTCTCTCTTTTAAATTAAAAATGTAGAGTCCTTGAAAAATGGGGCTAGGCCAACACAGGCTCCAAAAAAAAAGGGAGAGAGACATCAGTTCCCCATGGCATAGAGGCGGGTCCACTCCCGAGCATTACGCAGGGCTTCTGCTTCGTTCACTTTCCAAAGCTCTGCAACATCATTTTGCAGTGGGTCATCTGGATTTGGAGCGCTCAACAGGGCCTGGATTGACAGCAGCACTGTTCGAATCTGCAAGGCAGGACTCCATTTGTCTGTATGGAGGACCAAACAAAAGTTAATTTTTCACATTCATATAAAGTTAAAGAGATAAGACTGGACTGGTCCAAGGTACCTTTAAGTATGTCTAGGCATATCCTTCCTAATTTGTCCACATTTGGATGGTAGATTTTGGTCAGGAATCGAACTTTGGGAGCAGACATTGGGTACTCTTCAGGGAGAAATAATTCCAGTTTGAATACTCCACCTTCAAAAGGGGAACCTTCTGGTCCTGTGGATTTAAAGGAAAATAAGATCATGCTAATATCCTGAGTATTTATCTCCTATCCCAGCCAAAAAGACAAATAAATATGCCAAAAAATATATATGCATCTCAAGTTCAGAAGTCATGAATATTATCACAGGTCTAGTTCTATGTGAAACAATATTACAAACCTGCTACAACAACATGGAAGTATCTGGCATTGTTTTCATCGGGCACAGCACTGATACCGGGAACAGGTTCAGCCATCAAACGCTGAGTTTCCTGAAAAACCAACAACGCAATGCAGTTGAACAAGCCAATTAACAGTAAGCAAAAAGGACAAGTGCGTTTTCGAACCTTGATGATCCTCCGAGGGAGACCACCCACACCGGACATGTTGGGACTTACGGTAGGCGCTTGACAAGGGGATAGAAATGAGTTTCGTCCGACTGGGTATCCTTAGGGCCGGAAGACCTATCCGATAAAAATTTTGTCACTCGACCAGCGACTAGGCCTATTTAGGCGTAAAGTTACACCTAGGCCAATCTAAGGTTATCAATACAGCTACTGAAAGAAAAGACATGAGTGCTGGAATTGGCGAATGAATAACGTATGAAAGTGAAATGAGGCTGGTCCGTGCGAGAGAAAGCCACTGAACCAGCCAAGCACCCGAAACAATTACAGGCCGAGGTCCATGCCTCGGCCCCTTTCGGCTGTCTGCCAGTCGGCAACAACACCTCAAGGAAGCCGCCATATTGACGATCTCCGGCAGTTTCTGCTTCCTGCATGCTCGGCACGTATTTCTCAGAGGAATCTCAAAACTAAAGAAAGTTCAAAATGAACTTTTGGCGAGGAAACTTTAATTCTTCTACCGAAAATTGCACAACTAAATATAAATAATACGCATTAAACTATAACAAGTAGTAATCAATAATTTACTGCTGCTTCCGAGAGAGAGGAGGCGGGTAGCGGAGAAGAGATAGGGAGCATTATGGTTGTGCCCACATGGAAGTCGCGAGTTACGTTTTGCCTCGAGTTCAAAATATCCCTCGCTTATGACGACTTTTGATTAAGCCTTGTCTGATGCAGAAAGTTCATGCATAGACCTACTCCACATTGTTACGAAAGATAGATCTGTTGTTTTTGTTTCGAGAAACTATGTCTACGAAAGGGAAGTCCACGTCCAAGAGGAAGAATCGGGAGACGTCTGATGATTCCAACGACGATGTTCTCAGTCATTTCTGTGCCATAACCGGTGAGTTTACTATCATAGGCCTGTAGCTAAGGCCAAGGTCTACAATAGCCTATGTGATAGTCGTGGGAACGCTATGCTCAATTCCATACCCTAACGTTAGCTCTTTATTATGACATTAAGTATATCCAAGGCAGTAAGGCTATTGTTCTCTTCGTATTCCCTACTCTTTGCTCCTTACTTGAATGTGAGATCTGGCAGTCAAATGGCTCAAGGCTGAGGTAAATATTGAACATAGCAGGCTTAATCCTTGCCTTTACTTTTTTAAAGTTATCATTCATCCATTTATGCTGAGTTTCAAGAAGTTGAGGAGTTGTATGTTGGAGTTGTGATATTAAAAAGGGCCATGGTGCCTGGAAACAAGGTATGGAGCTTGGGCTATGAAGATGTCTGATTTTTCCTTTATCTAGTATCCCATTATTCTGCTTAACCTCTAACAAATGAATATCCAATATTGCAAAATCCTTCTAATTTTTATCTCTCAAGCATGTCCTTTTATCTAGACCTGGAGGGAGTCCTTCATTCATGTGCCCTGAAATACACAGAACTTTGAACCTAAAAGGGATTGTCAGTTTGCAATATGAAGGTTGTTCTGGGTCCTTTCATTTTTAATTCTGTAGATCTGGGATCGTATGCTTTATATTTCCTGTTTTTGTGGAACTCTTTCCTTTACCTGCAATAATTTGAAGCAGGAACATGTAATGTAGATTTCTGTATTGTAAGAGGTTTCTATTTTTTGATCTTTTGATGTGAAAAAAAGTACAACACCTTTTCTAGGTTTTCCCTCCCTTCTCCAATGCATATTGAGACTCGTTTTTCAAAGATTTCTTTGACCTTTGGGAAGAAATTCTGATGGATTGCAGACACACATGTTGTATTGTAGCTTTCATGGCTTTCACATTCATGGGTCATTGGGATTAACTACTTTCTTTATATAGATGACTCTAGAGAAGGAAATCCAAAGGCTGGAAAATTTCATTAATCAGGGCCTGTGGAGGAAATTTTGAGTTCATTGTACATTAATATCATATTATAGTATTGGCCTTCACTTGCTTCAAATAAATGAAGATGCCACTAATAACTATAGCAGGCCCACTTGACAGAATCCTTAAGAGAATCATCCTGATAGATGATAACCATCCCAAACACTCAGAGGTACATACATTCCAGGACAAGACTTAGAGTAGGCCTGGCTATCCACACATCTCATTGATGGATATCCTTTTCCTAGTGCTGGTATTATCCCCCATCCTCACCTGAACTGAAAATAAGAATATGAATAACAAGAATATCGAGTATTATATGAATTCTTATGTATGGTATCAACCAGTGTTGATAGTATATTATTGCAGCCCTAATGGCAATATACAATACATCAAAAGTCTTGCAGTTGCTTGCAACATTCCTGTCAATGGTGCTTTTTGATGGCCCAGCAGGTGAGGCCCTTGTGATCTTTAGCTTTCATGAGCATCCTTTATACTCTTTGGATGGCTCTTTCATTCAAGCCAATGGATTTAGTTTGTGATTTAGACTCAATGTTATGATATTGATCACATGTTCACATCTGTTCATCACATATTTAAATAATGGCAGGGTCTCAGGCTGCTGTGCCTTTTGATGTGAGAACTATGTCAAGAACAGTTATTAGGAGTGACTGTGTTTGTAACTATCCTGGTGCTAGCAGGTGGCATAAAACTTGCCAGAGTTTTTACAGGTGTGCATGTGGCTTGAGTGACAGAAATATCCTTGAAGGGGGTAAGTGAAAGGCAGACGATATTGACTCACATCCTGACTTGCCTCAGACAAATTTATCTCTTGTGATATGTAAGAAGGTGTCACTTTAAAGGGAAAAAAAAATTATGGAAAAGACATGCATTTAGTGATACAAATGAGACTTGCTGTTGGGAGCAGAAGAAGAAAAATGCCAGAATATAAAGTAGAAATGGTGAGAGTAATCTATTCTCGAAATCTTATGCTTGCATTAATCATTCATCAAAGATCCTTCATCTCTGTCATATGCCGCCACATCAGCTTGGGCGACGATCCAGACCGATGAATGGGCAGCTTACAATGAACTGGGTTGGGAGGAAGGGGGAACTGCATGAGACAGTATCAACAGCTGTAAACTTTGTTGCTCCAGTGACTGGGGAGAACGATATGTCCCTCATCTTTGAGGACTCTGAAATCTTTGACGAACTTACGTTGCCATGCTCATTGGACCGTGGGAATAGCGTAACTTTCACTTTATTCAATCATTCTCTTCTACCACCCATGGCACACAGACATACAGTACAGAGTGGGGCAAAAGTCACTATAAAGTTGTTGAATATATGTAATAGTTTAAGTTCTAACGCCATATTGACCGTTGTTTACAGCAAAACACAAATAACACGGAAAAATGAACGTGCAATGTAATTTCAAAAGCTACCAGCTTCATTCAGCAGTATTACTCTGAAACGAAGAAGACCAAATTAGCAAAACAGCCATAACTGTATAGTAATTTTTTGCCCCACCGTGTATACGATTACAAAATATGGAAAATGTTTCCTATCAGCAACGCGATTCCTACTTCTCTCACACGCAAAGCATGGAACACGAAACTTTCTGGGTCCAACCAGCTCGTCCTCATCCATTCTTACAAGCCAGCGCTTCATGTAACTGAAGCGGGGTATTTTTATGAGCCTTACGGTTGTGCGCTGGTTTCATTTTCTCAAAATGGGAGCACAAAGCAAAGACGTGCCATTCATCCCCTGACCATTTATAATAAGTACAAATTAGCCTATCAATAGGACCAGTAATAGAGAACGTCAATCAGGATTACGCCAAGTTCCGAGTAGGTCTTTAAACAGGTTGACGCCAGTGAATGCAATGAGAAACGTTTCCATGTATGGAGATTCGATGTCTCACGACAAATAAATGTAAAGATCTAATTGCGAACCGCGTTTTTGGCGCAGACTGAGGCCTGTTCGTGGATTGTAACATAGTGTTTGCAGTACAGAATGATTAGGAATATATATATCTCAACACCAAACCTAAGACATGACAATCGTAGCAAGCAGGGTGCGAATCCTGTAAAGCCAGCAGTCAACTCGGAACAGTATCTGCACCGTCTGCTGCAGAAGACACTGCTCTACCATGCGTTCTTCTGGTAATTGAGGGATACGGTGCCGAATGCACACAGCTTACGCACTTAGAGCTTCTTAGCCTACTTTTTTGTGTGCTGATGATAGCCACAGCTTAATAATTAGAATAGAATTTAACGCTACGTGCGCTTAAAAAGGCCTTACAATCTTATCATTGGTGTACGAGTAGGTTGGTATTATGCAAATCTCAGGGCCATAGGAAAAGATCGACTGGACTAGTGAGACGTAGAGTGATTTTAATAATTCTAACAATTTTGGACTTGAGTCATGTTTAGAGTTAGAGACAGCAATGTACCTTTACTTTTTGTTGCTATAGTGTCTACTTCTTCCTTCCATGATCTGTCGTACCAACATGACAGCCAAAATAAACAACTGAACGCTTAATTTCGACGGACGTTTCATCGTGAGACCAACATCATTCCTTTCTTCATTACCAGCACGACCGTCTTAGTGAGATTCGCTTCGATAAGCTAATTTTGTGTGCGCTGGTACAAAAGTAATCGGAAACACCATACTGACACTCTGGGGACACCTTTCTTTCTCCCTTTCTTGCATACCCTATACTTATGCACCCTTGTGGCAGCCTTTATTTCTCCACGCTATCCACCCCGTCCTCGTGCACACTTTTTCCATTGTTATATTCAGGCATCGAACCCCCGTGACAAAGAATTGCTGGAACTTTCGCGCCCATCGCATGGCACACTGCACGACGTCGGCACGATAAACAAATCTGTGACCGCGTAGAGCCCTCTTCATTCACGGAAACGTGGAAGTCCGAGGTAACGAGATCAGGTGAGTAGAGTGGGTGAGGCAGCATGGTGTAATAAAACAGATCAGTTGATCGTGCCAGGCGTCACATGATAGATGCGACAGCTCGTGCAATTCTCCGTCATCGGTTCGATGCGTGGGTATACCGATGGGACAAGTATGTGTGCAAGATTGGGGATTATCCGGGAAAAAAATTATCCCAAGAGCGTCAATATACAGTAGTATTTTCCTGCTGTTATATTTCCAATGACTTGCTCCACCCCTCGTACAATACTGCTCCAAACCGTTAAGTTGCAGTTGCAAAGCTGATGGAGTAAGAACGAAATTGGTCAGGTCGTTAGCGTATGAACTTGAGTGCCACTTACGGGCTCGGCATTTGATGTTCCACTACGTCAACAATAAGAAGTGGGGGAAAAAAATATTTGAGCCCCCCGACGTTGACGGGGCATGCAGCTGACTTACTGCGGTGATTCATCTTAACTGAGGATTGTCAATCATCATGGATAGAACAGTTCTTTATAAAGCGTTGTACTCGTGCTTATTGCAGTTTCAACAAGAGCACACACCACACCAATTGAATGCTCCTTTATATTAATATGTTTTACAGTTGACATCCCTTGATCGCGTATTTCGTTCTCATAGTCTCGAGAATAAGTATGTGATCAGCAATGCTGCTTTTCCCTTTATATAAGGACTGGATCTGACCGCATCTTCTGTGACCGCGAATATAAACCCCACACGAAACCACGATGGTCGTGCAGTGCCAGATATTTCGCTGTCGGGAAATCTGTGGGTATGCCATCACCCCCTGGTGCCTCGTCAGATTTTAAATTTGGAATTTCTTCGGAGACATTAATTTGCATGTGAAAAGCATGGGGGTATCCAGAGTTACGTTGGTGGTTACATTGCCAGGTGTGGCAAAAGAAATCTGGGAGTGAAAATAAATCCGGGAAGTATGTGAGCCATGCTTGCCGTGAAATCTGATCTAGAGCAGCCGAAACTGGTTTTTCACTTCCAGGCAATGTTCCAACTGACATCCAAAGGTCTTGCACTCCGTGTCCTTCACAGGGCATAAAGAGTACAAGACCTTTTGTCAACGTGGAATCGTATGAGGAATATCTCTTCTTTCCTACGATGAGTTTGTGATATGCTTGCAGTGCATTTGGATCGGCTTCCCTCCGAGTTATTCCTCCTCGGCACTCGAGCTCAACATTCGATATCCTACACTCATTGCATTCCGTCGTTTAGTATGAGAGCGTAGATATTCAGGTTCTGAGAGGAGTGACGTGAATGTATCACGACACTGCGTGTGCATGTGGGAAGCGGGATCCTCTTTAGACCCGAATCGACTTTTGCTCGAGTAGCGACCATGAATAATGCGAAGGAATGGCGTGGCTTCGTGATGATGTGACACTTATGCGTACAGAAGCGAATTGCACTTTCCTGGTACACCTGAATATTTCCCTCGTAGACGTCCGACCGACGTGCGGACGCGAGCCCAACCCCGCTCGTTTGGTGAGGCCAACTCCCAACGCGACCAATTGCCGTGTTCGGGTTGGCGCGGGCAATGGATGGGAGGAGTCATGATTGATTTTTCATCAGCGAGGAGTGTGGGTAACTTGAAAAAAGAGGATGCCAGCGAATTCGCAGATGTATGTGGGTACGGAATTTTTCTGCCAAGGAGGCGAGAAATAGATTTTTAATGTTCTCTATCAGTTTGTTAGGACAGACGCCCAGCCTGTTCCGCTTTCCAGAACTGTTCATGAACATTCGGCTTAACACATTGGTGTCACCAATGTGTTAATATATACGCCAAATCAAAAATGTTTTATTTTGAGTTATTCTTCTGACTTCTTACAAGTAGAAGTTTTTCGATGTAGGATTGGATTCCATGAGCGCGAATCCGAGGGTGGAAGCCTTGCAGCACGGGAAGCGTTTCGCCGTGCCGTGCTGACTGATACGCAGGTGAAATTAGCGTTCAGTCATTCTCTATGATCGAGCGAAAATGCAAATTAGAAGGGGAGTGACGCAAAAATGACAGCGCGTTATGACTTGGAAAACTAATGCGAAAGAAAGCGGTCTGTTGGTGTCTGCTCGCAGAAGCGGTGAGAGGGACTTGGGGAAAGGGGAAGAGGTGCCCACATGCCCGGAAACATTAATCTCTTTTCAGCTTTCCTTCAAGGTCGCGTCGGGATAGCGCGAAGAGAAGGAAAAATGTTTTTTTTTTTTGTGACTTTCCCCTTAGTTTCAAGGCAGGGTAGAAATGAACCAGCGACCAGGGGCAATTCATGTCCCCATTCTTCGTTACCACATCAATATCTTACAACCAAAACTTCTCGCAATAGTGTACTCAAGGGGGACTCGGGTGGGAAGGTCAAGCCTTGGCCCCTGGCCAAAACCCCCCGCTTATCAGTCTCATCCTCCCCCCTCCCACCCCACCCCTCCCCTTCCCTCTTCCTTCCAAATATCTTGCTGCTTTATGCCGCTGGCTTCATGTGAATGGATTGGATTTGCTCCGTGCTGATGAAGAGTGCCCACTGTTTTCACATTAGCTGCTTCCATTTCGTGATAGAAGCTTTTCAAAGATCAGGAGGCGCAGCAGAATGAAAAGTGACGGAGCTGAAGGGGGCTTGATGAGTCTGCGCAGACTATTTTGACCTCTATTGCATGATGATGCTAATAGGCATCAAATAAAAATTTGAGAACATAAGTAGAGAATAATTATTTTGAGTGAGTATTTTGCCTAACGATGCCAAATTCCGTAAAATTTTTATCTCTCAGATCATTGCTCCTTCCCCCCCACAATTTTTTTCAGTGAAATATAAAAAAATAAAATAAAATGATAATTGACATAATGCATTTTTTCTTCCACATTTTCATGGTTCATGCAACAGAGGGCAAGAGGTTATCTCCCTTGCTGTTAATCGACCATCAGATCACCGTTGAGGACGTCGATTCATTTTTCATACCCTAAGCCTTTCTCGTGAGAGGTTTGCTGGCTTTAGGCCGATCGCGCTTGTCGCATGGAAATCAATGGTCTATTTCCGTGGAAAGCTAATTGGATCAGGTTGGGAATTGATTTCCGTGAAAAACAAGTTGGAGTCTGGTCAGAGACAAACTTCTGCCCCCAGACCGTTTCAGGACTCAACTCCACAAGGATACTGGGAAATGAAACTCGTTAGAGTGTACTGTAGAGTAGAGCGCGAAACTATTCTTTTTTTTTACAGATTGAATTCGTAACTCCCCCCGCCCCCATAGGATTGCTTACATCAATTGCAGGCAGTGACATCTTCCAGATGGGCGGTTCCGTGAATTATCTGATGAAGCGCATCCTCTAGTCTAGAGGCAGTACTTTCACTGGTCTCCATTTCCCCGGGGGGGGGGTTACGAATTCAGTCCGAAATCCGTGCAAGGAATGTTAATTTTTCTCCATTTCCATCTCAGATTGAAGATGGAAACTTATGGAATTTAAAGGGAACGAGATACTTTTGGACCAATATCCTGATGTATGTCTCATGGACAACATCTCTGTGGAGTTCATAAAAAAAATCATATTTTATTTGCAGACTCCTTACATGCTATTCTCCACATAAAAATTGTGAAAGAAATGTTCCAGCTCTACATCTATGCAATAACAATTCAGGGGCATGAGTGATTTTCTCGCTATGTTGGGAAATATTTATCCCATCATCTCTCTCAGACGAAGTAAGATACTAGAGGTGGGACACTATTTTCTCAATGAACCCAAGATATAACCCAAGGGTTAATGCCACTAAACAAACATTTTTTTTTGGACCAGAACCAGTTACTTAGCTTAGGCCTATTTGTTGTCAGCATTTCACCTGACCTGCCTGCCTTGGTTTGGTTGTGGTTTGATTAGTAATACAGTTACTATAATTATACGGTTTCGTTAATATAGCTATAATATAGCGAGCTCAGTTATTGCATGCAACATGTGTAACAAAATGATCCTTTACCAGCATGTGATATTATGAAGCACATTTCCTGTTATTTGTTGGAACTAACTCTATTAGAGAAATGTTGAAAAATGCTTCCCAAGGCTGCCAGAGGACTAACCACTATTTGCTCTTTTTTAAAATATAAAATGGAGATGATGCTTTTAATTGATTTATCTATATCAGTCACAGATTAAGACCTTATCCTTCTGCTCCTTGAATTTTCTAATAATAGGAGCAAGTGAGAAGATTGGGAAGAACCTGTTGGAAGCCTGTAATGGAAATTTGGAGATGGCAGTTAATATGCAGCTGGAGAACGATCTTGGGAACCGATCTCGAGAATCAGGAAACTCAGGAAATGGAGAAGTCCATGTGATAGGTGAACCAGGACCAAGTACTTCAAGTGATGATGTCAGGCCTCCCATCCCTCCGACCCGGGAGGTATTGGTGGATACTCCAGTATATGATTACAGTTCCTTCAAGAAGGGGAAGCGGTTATCAAGGTCAAGGCAACCACTGACAGTATTTGATGGATTTAGGGATTTTCAGGCAGAATCCAGTGAGAAATCTCATACAACAATCATGTATAATTCTGTTGGGATTTTATTGAACTCTGCAATATATAGACCTTATTTGCTCCACAGAGAGAATAGAAGAGATGATGTCAGAGGATGCAAGTGTTTCATCCTCTAAGCAGAAGACATTGGAAGACCTCTTCAGGCCTCCTTTAGACCTCATCTTCAGAGGGTCATTCCAATTGGTAAGAATAGAATATTAGTGCTGCCTTTTCGCTGAAGAATGAGATGAAGTGCATAGCTGTTTCTAATCATCCAGGCACGTGATGCAGGCAGCAGAAAAAAGAGGTGGCTCATGGTCAACGTCCAAAATGTGACAGAGTTTTCTTGCCAGGTCCTAAATCGTGATATCTGGTCCAATGACAGTGTGAGGGAGTTCATTCGTGAGCACTTCATCTTCTGGCAGGTTTGTGGTTTTAAAGCACCCCTTCTGTTGCCTTCAAGCTTTGATGATGAATTAAACAGTTCATTGGGATGGGTTCCAGGTGTATCATGATAGTGCTGAGGGGGAAAGGTATGCTACCTTCTACAAAGTGAATGAATGGCCATATGTTGCCATCCTTGACCCAAGGACTGGGGAGAATTTGGCCACCTGGCATAAGCTTGATCTTCTCACTTTTAAGGACTTGGTAAAAGAGTTTCTCAGTTCTCATCCTCCATTGGATGGATCTCCTTCTCCCACACAACCTCGAAAAAAGGCCAAACAGGTCAGCTCAAAGTTTTGTTTTCTGTCTTATTTTATCCATAATCCTGTTGATTGGCCCAGATTTTTAAACTAGAATTTGTTTTGTGCTTGTCCCACAGGAAACCAGTATCATTGATGCCAGTGAGGATTCTCAACTAGAGGCAGCCATCAAAGCCTCCCTGGTTGAATCTCAAACCTCATCTCAGAAGGAGACTGATTCAGAGCGTGATGCTAGTGAAATAGAGACATTTGACTCGGATTCAGAAGGTTTACCTCCTTGTGTTCTATCTGAATCCGGTGTCAAGGGGAAGGAAAGTGCACTTAAAGCTGTGAAGAGTGAGAAGAAGCCTGCACTGAGACTCTTAAAGGGGCAATCTTTTGAAGCCAATGATGAATGCTCACAGAATTCACTCAGCAGTGAGATAAGTGATGTTCCTTGTGATGAGAAGTGGAAGGAGTATCTTGGACCAGAGACAGGTGAGATCTTTTATGCTTTGATCTTTCTTCTTCAGTCACATTCCACAAAAGCTGGATTCCAAGGTAGAACTGGTCATCACTGAATAAAGCCAATGAGACATTGTTTTAAATCCCTTTGGGTAGTGTGGCTATACATCTATAGGCACTATCCATGCCTATGGGAGTACATCTGTGTGAGTATGTCCACAATATTAGTGACAAATGTCTCTGGCTATACATATGCAGCCATGACCATGGCCATGATTTGCCATGATGATGGCAATGAACTTCATTATAGTATTTTGGAGAAGGCATCCACCACACAAAAAACTCAACTCCCACAGGCAGAGCTGACCACAGAAAACTCATGACTGAAAGGGTTAATTCCTATTCCTATTATTTTATTTTTGATGGAAGTTGCACTTGTTCATTTTTCAATGCAAAGTCATTCCCACATATGCATTTTTTTTCTTTTAGTTCGATAATTTTTCAGTTGAGTCTAACAACCAAGTGTGGACTCTTCCCATGCCATGGTTGGTGTTAGTGTCAGTGAAAAAGTATTAGACATCAACCAAAGAAACTTGTAAACAATCAGGGATTGAATGTCATGCTTTGCTTTTCTTGTTTTCCAGATGTACCTTCGCAGTTACTCCTGAGATTGCCTGATGGCAAAAAGAAGCATGTCTCAATGCCAAACTCATCCAAACTCCAGGTAAAATGACCTGCTTCATATTTGATACAGCACATCTCTCATGGATTGGCTTTTGGCATGCATTGCTGGATCATGTTTGCAGGCTGTGATAGAGTATGTGGGAGGGCTGGGCTTCCCTTCTTCAAGCCATGAGCTTGTCCTCCAGTTCCCTCGCCGCCTCCTCCTTGACATGGATCCCTTACAGACTCTCAAAACCCTTGGTCTCTTTCCCAGTGAGACCATCTTCATCCAGCAAAAGTGAGGGTGGACAAAAACGTACAAAGTCTCCACCTGCATCTCCTTGTGCCCTTGATCTCTCTATCTGCCTGTATCATATCTATTTCATCTTGCAGTGCATCTCTCATTTTGTACAGAACTTTCTTTGAGAAATATGCTTGGTTTTGATTCATTCAAGTTAACCAAGTTGATGAGAGGTGCTTCTAATTGTTCATGCTCAATCAATCTTTTTGAGGTCTCAATAGCTTCCTATAATTGATCCAAATCATGGGTTTTTGCAACTCTTCTCTAAGGGAACGATTCTTGTTTTTGCTTTTCAACAGCAAAGGGAAACTTGAATGCAATTTCTTTTAAATCTTATTTACCCTAGGAATTGTCAGAATGGCTCAGTTCATCATAGGCCCAAAGAATAATGAAAACATTTAAATCCATTTGATCCCTACAGTTTATGAGGCTGGTAAAAGAAGTGGATTTTTGGAAAATGTCAGTACTGGGACTTGAGCTGCAAAGTAAGTTCTCTATCTGCCATAGAGAGTCATACATTCCTAAGCATACTTTTCCATTTCACTTCATAGAATGCTCTGCTTCAATGATATTTGAGGCTGATAATTTCTCCATGTGGAAGTGTGGGGCGTGACATCATCTTCCATCCATAAATACCAGTTTTAAAGATATTGTGAGTTAACCTCTTCTTTTTTTTTGTTGCTCTCAGCCTTATGCCTATCTGAATTGTTGTCTGGATTATTTCTTTAAGAAGAAAAGAGGTAGGATCAAAGTTCTGTTAAAATTGCTTATATGACTGGGCTTTAGCTAGTGTTTGATCTAATGAACAACAGGAATCATGAGCTCACCTATGAGCAATTGGCAGAGAATATGCAAAAGAGATTCGATCATGTTCATCTCAAAATAAACCATTTTTAAACAACTTCAAAAAATCAAGGTGTGTTTGAATGTGGACTGGCTTGGTGGGAGAGAGGTATATGGCATCTCTCAATCAAAATCCAACCACCAATGGGTTTCAGTCTTGAAACCCTTGCCCTTGAGAATGCCATTATCACTGTCATACTTGCCTCCATGGCCATGAAAAGAGTATGGCTAGTCCAATTTCTTCTCTGATGGATAAACAAGAAATAAATTAGTACAGCTATGCTGGGATTATATTTTAAAATTTTCTGGAAGTATGTTTCTTGAAAAGTTTTTTGAAGTAACTCTAAAAAGAGTGGAGACATTGGGAAAAAGTGGTGGTCATCTTGTTGGGGGTCCATTATGAAGTAAAGAAAATTCCATTCCACAAAAAACTGTCATTTAGAGGGATGGTATCCTCAAGGGGGTAGTTGGGAAGAGGGGTTCATTGTAGATAGGAGGCCTAAGGTCTGAACTTTCTGGTGATTTCCCCTTGTTTTTCTTACACTTAGGAAGTTTTTCAAATTTTATATTGAAATTGTCCTCATTCATAATTCTATCTTTAAAGTCATGGCATTTCCTGGTATTGCTCAAATGTACCAGATGAAGAAAAGAAGTTCTAGAGGGAACTTGCCTGAGGATAATATGAAATGCCTAGGAATAGTTTTTATTATTAACCTAATCACTTTAGGAGCTGCATTTCCAAATGAGCATATTCCAGGCATAAAATAGGACTTTTGCATGGGTAGGGTTCATTCACTGACTTGGGAGCAGATTGTGTGACTTGATAGCTCATTGGTGATTAGCCCCAACAGAGGTATGGAATCTGTAAACCAAGCATGTTAGCAGGGACAGGTAACAGCTCGGTTCTGGAGGACGTGTTTATTAGATCCACAGAATCCTTTTGGACTTTCTGCTACATTCTTGGGGAATATCTTACCCATTTTGCCCCAAATGTATCAGTGATTGGTACTCAAATTGGAGACTGGTGGAGCAACTTCATTGTGTGGCTTGACTTTGATGATTTCCATGCCAAGGCTTGCCTCTGCTTTCTCTTCATCATCTGTGTGAATCTTGTGTTGATCAAGCTTGCGTGGAACATCTATGGTGAGCAGATTGCTGACCGTTTCATGAAACCAAGTGAGTTTCCCATTCTGTATTTTGTACAATTACTGACTGCTCTGAATTTCTCTCAACTGTCAAATTTGACAATTAGATGATTATGGACAGGACATTTATATGACTTCATAGGCTCAAGAAAACATGATCTTAGCTCAATGAAAAATCTCCATAGCCATCAACCTATTGCAAACTCAACATAGTCACTAACCTGGTAATGTTCACTGAGTGCCAATATTTCCTAGAATGCATGTTTAATATATGCTGCATTTATTCTAAGGCATTCCCTTGAGAAAAGGGCTTAAGATGATGACAAATCTCAGACAGGACAAGAAGTATCTATGCTCCATCTTGCAAAGATAGTATTTGTTTCTGGTTTCACTGAAGGTCTTGAACTTTCCTATTCAGAAGGGAAGTGTTCCTTTGGAAAGGGCATCGGTAATATGGATAATATATAGTATGTTTTTCTGATGTGTAGGTAGCAGCAGAATGAGGGAAATGAAGCTCAGGCTCTATGATCTTCTAGTTTGACATAAGTTACAGGATGACAGGTTCACTTGGATATTGAATGGAATAAGTTTAGTGGCAGTGGCTACTCCTGTGGTGGCTTAAGGGTTTATGTCCCTTCATGGAGATTAACAAGTAAAGGGGACTGTAAGGCTTTTGTTGGCACGAATATCTGAATGTTCTGAAGATGTAGACATAATCAGAGGTTATGCTGATGCTTAAGAAAGGGTTAAGCAACTAAGTGAAGTGATGGAAATGCTCCCACAAAAATGTTTGCAGGGTAGATTTGTCTTGAAATAATGGGGTGAGGCTGGGATGAGTTGCTTGACCTTGCCTTGATTTGTCAATGTAGTCTTTAATGCCTCTTGGCATTCTAATCTAAACCTTGGATCTTGAACCTAGTAGGTAATAGAATTACCAGTCAATTTTAGGTAAATAGGATAACCTGGGTGTGATATCTGTGGAAAAAGTCTATGGAGTTCTGCCTTTGCCACAAATTCTGAAGGGACAGGGATTATCACTCTTGAACTCCATATCATTACACCTTATACAGGGTGTACATAATTGTCTTTACCATTATAAATGTCAATTGCATGAAAAACAATAACATCAGAAGATTGAAATTTCACAAACATGGAGGGAAATTCAGTTTTTTTTCAACCTTTACCTTGTGAAGTTTCAACATGGCTACAGTTGCATATTTGCATGGCAAATATCAAATTGGTACTCATTTCCTCCCAGACTTATGTCAGCATCTCTTGTGTAATCTTGTGTAAGGATAATTTATGAACACCCTTTATATTTAAAATTGCCTTCAGTACTTCACATTGATGCCATTAAAGGTGTTCCAGAATTGGAGAAAATGTTGAGACTTTGACAGGCTGACCATTCAGGACTATTTTGATAGCTAATGTATTTTATTTTATAGTGTAACATGTTGTAACCCCTAAGTTTGTTTTACTCACTTACCTGCTAGGCATTTTTTTGTTGCCAAGTCTAGGCCCACTCACAGGGAAGGCAACTTATGAATTTATTGGTTTGTTTAGGTTGTGCACAATCAGACCAGTCATTGACTCAGTGTAACTAGAAAAGAGGCGAATAAGCCACTGCCTAGTTGGAGTCATTATGTTTTACTTGTAGTTGCTATGTCTTAAATGTTAGGTATGCAATGGCATAAAAAGTTAATTCTGCAAATTTATACATATTAATCAACTCAGATCTTAGAAAGAAATTTAGTCAACACTTGGAAGCTTCTTTCATTGAAAGTCTTTCACAAATCTTCATCAAGATGGAATAATGGTTCAGGGGTTCATCTTTGTAATATCTAATGTAAGACTAATGATTATTCAATCATGTCATACTTCTTGACATTGCCCCTGTTCTGTTGGGAGGTGGACAATAGAGTCCTGCATAGCCTGATTTGATATATTCTGACTTGATCGACCAGAATCACCATCTGTCTTCATCTCTTCCCAAGATGTGAATCCCTGCCATGTTTAATGTCCTTACCCACCCCAAACTGAAAATACTTATTTATGGGAAAGACTATATGGTACTTTTTCCAAATCAATCACAATCCTTTCTGCCATCCACAAACAGAGTGTTGGAGATGACCCAAAATGAATGGCAGATCATTTGATGGGATGGAGTGGATATAAAGGGCATATTTATTAAGTAACATTGCAAAAGAGCTTCAGGGGAACAGTAATTTTGGTTCTTTTTTTCAGCTGCTGCCTCTGAACTGGCTCAAATGACCAAGGACATACAGGAGTTGCAGCTGCCCAAGGATTTCAGCCCCCGAATGTAAGACAGGAAAGAGAAGTGAAAATGTCAGCAATAAAGGCATTTTTCAAGAAGCGGAAGCTGGAGGTGAAGTTCAAACTGGCTGGAGAGGGAAAACGGCTGAATTCCCCAAGCCACAGCTCAACTGCTTCCACATCATCAAAGACCTCACAACACAACTCTTATCGTTCAACTGGCCTGTCTGAAGGGGCACATATGGCTAGGGAGGCTGCCCTCAAGCGTGTTCAGCAACAAGAGATCAAGTGAGTCCAATTTTCCCCAACCTTGATATCAACTTGCTTTTCCTCTTTATTCCAAAGGTTTAACTTCATTTTCACAAGGTTAAAAACCAAAATGAAATTTTTACCTGTGTAAATGTTAATTTTCCAGTGCTGTGAGTTGCTATTAGTCAGATATTATTTGAATTGATTACTGAAGCAGAAGTTCCTGAAAAGCTTAATGTTGATAATAAAAAAAGTAATAGTGCCTCAAAAGTGGACCAACGATAGAACTAGTGCAAGTGCACCCCTCACCCTTCAAGAGACTCATGCCTCACACATTTTTGGGTGGGGCTTCCAGTTGAGGCCATGCTGAAGTGCATGTCATTTGTTCTGTCAACCAAGATGATTCTATCTCTAAGAAAATGTAGGCCAAAATAGTCCACTACTGATAAATAATGGCTGTAAAATATCAGCTCGTTGTAACCACTGGTTAATGTGAAGTCAGGAAAGGGAATGCTCACATATAAGTCCCTTGATATCTTCTACTTGTTATAAACAGATGGAGCTTGTTCTTGAAAAGTCAGGGAAGATTAACCAATTTGCAGTTGGATTCAACTTTACTGTAGACAATTAGACATTGGAAGAGTTTAATAGAGATTCAAGCTGCACCTCTCTCTCAAGTCATCTTCCTCTCAAAATAATGTACTCCTTTGAATAATTCCCACTTTGAACCAATTACAAGATTGTCTGAGAATTGATGAGAACTCCACAGGTAAGACCTTATTGCAAAAAAAAAACAGCTAAAACTGGCTCGCCTATTTTGGGATCCATGAAAATCTCCATTTACACTGCTTAGTGAATTCAGCAATTGAATGTGTAATGACCCTCAAGTGATTGGTCCTCCTTCAATTTCAAGTTAACAAGACTTCATATTAGCAAATAACATTTTACTCTAGTCTTTGGACCCACTTGTGAGTCACTTATTTTTAATTCATTTTTTTCTTGAAATGAAAGCTTTCTTGGCAACCACGTTGAATTAGGATGGTTGGGATGGAGAACACCAAGAGAGGTAGAGATAGTGGGAAAAGTCAGAAGTTTTAAAATTGGATTAAACACAATATTCAAATTTGATCAATTCCAGACCAGTAAGCAAGATCCGAGCAAGGGCATTGAGGGAATTGGAGGCTGAACGAAAAAAGGGGGCTGAATCAGTCAGTGCTGAGCCACTCCAAAAGGACTTTGCTCAGGACTCAGATGAGGATCGGACAGTTAGAGGAGTTTTTTTTCGATGTCAATTGCTTGGTAAGAGAAGAGATGACAAATAATTGAAGCACGATCAAATATTCATGAATTGATGTGAAAGTGCTGAAACTGTGATTTGTGCATAGGAGATGAAGTTTTACCCAAGGAGGAAATGCTTGTCCGAATCAAGGAATTCCTTTATGAGCAGCTGGCTGAGGAAAGAGCCCTTACTGCTGTCCTAATCATTCACACCCTCAACCGTAATGAGGAAAAGGTGAAATCTCCCTATGTAGAGTCATTATTGAGTGATAATTATCATATTCTATTCATATGTCCAAATTTGACATTGAGTTATTGCAGCTTGCAAGTTTTCTCTTTTCTATGCTTCTCACAGAGATGACCATCCCATGTCTTAACCTCTTGAGTTATCTAAAGCTTTCTTGATATGGATATCTCTGAAAGTCTCCCACCCTCAAGTTTCTGTGATTGCTGTCACTTGATGGCATTCAATGGTGAAGAGGTGCAGTTCCATTGTTATTGGGATGATACAAGTTATTTATTTTTTTGCCAAAAACTTCCTCTGAAATAATTTTCCAGTAGGATATGAATACCACACTGATTCAGCAGGTTGTTATGTACCTTCAAGTGAAGGAAGAGTGCTGCTGTATCACATCCTACTGTCATTTGTTGCTGATAGTTTTATAAATGTAGCTTTCCAAAAAATAATAAATTAGGGTACCTGGTTGGGAGAGTGCTTTTGCAATAACCTTCCTTCCTGCAGCAACTTTCCCAGGTATGTTTTGCTTGCTTCAGTACATAATACCTTACCATACCATAAAACCTAGAAGTACTTAGCGCTTAGGTTGTGATGATACTACATTTTTCTTCTTTCTGCTTGTCATAATCATGTAGGTCTTAGAGGAGTGACACACAACTTCATAATTCAAAGATAATGTGAGAGCAGGACTAAACTGAAAGAGTATAAAGGAAATTGAGAGAATAAGAGATACAAAGTAATCTTTCGGACTAGAAGCCCTTAGCCCTTTGAGTGGTGAGTGACTGTGCATGCCCCCAGGAGTGAGGTTTTTTTTGCAGATGGGTTCCAGCTCTGAATTTTTTACTTTTATGAACCAAAACAGCATTTACCTTGGAAGTATGTTGAAATAACTTTAATTCAACATTAGTAATCTTGGGTAATCAGTAGTGCTTCAGGGTGTGGTATTCCCTGAAGCAAGGGTCAATGCAAAGAGCTATACCACATTCCAAGCTCATATATCTAGTGTATTTTTCTGGCTTGGTTTTTGTGCAGAATGCTTGCAAACATGGTGCTTTTTCTGAGTGCAACCTCTACAGTAGGAAATTGCTGTAACCATTGGAATGTCTATGCAAAAGAAACTGCCCCCTGCTAAGAAATAACACATAAGATCTGAGAAAAGTTTTGAGATGGAATTGTTTAAATATAAAGAGGTGAAATACAGAAGAAGTAATTGATTTAATTCCCTTTTCTTTCTCATTTCCTGAGAGGGAGTTTTTCATGTAATGCCTCTTGGCACAAACTGCTTCTTGTTCACCAACGCTTTACATGTGAGACATTTTGTCATAAGTTTATTGCCAGTTCCAGGGCTTTCCGGATTTGTCATTTAAAATCGAAAGCACACTTCCATCAGCTTAATTTTCTAAATGGAATGGGCATCTGTTAGTGAGAGAGTCACTCTTAAAACCCTCTCATGAACTGCCCCAAAGTTAGTATTTAATTTTTTTTTCTGTTACTTTCTGTACTAGCTTGAAGATGGCAGTACTGATTAAGGCGAGACCTATTCAGGAACCTCCAAATTTTAGCTCAAACTGACTTCATCTATAAAAATGTGGCAATTTGAATTCGAAGATGCAGGATGTATCTGTATGACCACACTCCTGCAAGACTGGGAGTGCATGGCCTTACCATTATGGCCATACCACTCAAAAGGTTAATTGGAAGAGAGAGAATAAGCACAGGAGGAAAGGGAGCTGGGAGTAATTATGGCAGACAAGGATGTCCTCTACCAAATGGAAGGAACAGAGTCTTCAGTACAGTGTGAGTAAAATATCTGAAATCAATGGGGAATGTTGAAGGTGCCCTATGTGGCCGCCTTTCCTTATGATTCCCAGTTCCAATCAGCATAACCACTTGTCCTTTGTCAATTCCATATTACTGCCAACAGAAATAAATCAATTGTGTAAGGATAAGCAAATTATTATTATAACAATCAAATATACTTTTGATTCCAGACATTTGACTCGTACTGTAGTTATAACTTGAGGGCCTCCAGGATGGCAAACCTTTAGAAAGTTGGCTGTGGCTAGCTCCTTGAACTTGTGATTCAATGATCTTCACACTGAGAAGGAGTATATGTGTCATTGAGATAATGGCTTGGAAAGAGAACGTTCCTCAGTTCCATAATGCTAGCTATCCCAAATCTTTTTCCTGCGGTCCACTTGAAAGAATGACATGGGCATGGCAACAAAATAATAATCAAACCAATAAAGAACTTTTAAAAAAAATTGAGGTCCTCAGCTATAATCCAATGTTTGTTTCAATATCCTGGTTTGTTTGCTTTCTGAGTTAAACTCTTTGAAATTCTTCAAACCTTTTGTGTCCTTGTGAAATTGAGTTGCTGAAGTCAAATGGTCGTATCTTGTAAATGCTACAGATCCTTATGTACATTTTCTTGCCTTGTGTATGCCCACTCCACTTGAGAATACTGCACATTCAGTAGTTTTTATGTCTTCATGCACTTAGCATTTCTAGATAGTAAAACACCTTCAGCAGATAAACCTCCTTGCACTAAAGGAAAATTGAAGCCCTAGGATACGGCATGTATACATGCTGCTTGGGTCTGAAGAGTTTAGAGAGGCATGTTTTCCTGTTGAAGAGGGAACCCTTTGTGATCCTGCAATGCAAAGGGAAATGCATAGATTACTTATCCTAGATGTTGCATACTTTATAGGATGGAGATAGAGGGATAATGGAAGGCTCTTGCCTTTTCCTTGTGGCAACCTGTATGTCAGCTCTCAAGTCAAATGGATTTTTTTTCTGTTTAAGAACTTGTACTACTTGTGCTTAGTTTTGGTTTTTCTTCAGTCATAGAAGCATCTTTCTGCTGAGATGACTGAAGATTTAAATTAGGGTAGACCAAAGTGAGTGTGACTCCAGAATTATTAGGTTCTCTTTGTAGGTGTCTTCTCCATCAATATCCATGGACAGTTTTGAGTTTTTATCATAGAAAGTATTGTTACATTTTCTGCCAGGCTCCAGGGAAGTAATTATCTGGCTGCTATAGTTCATCAAGGCTGTGATTTAAAAAATTTTCTTTTATACAAGCCCATGAGACCCCACTTCCCAAGTGGTATGAGGCAGAGGGTTTTGGGCCTGTAATTCTGATGTAAATGGAGCAGCTTAGGTCTCATGGCAAGCAAGGCCATCTCTCATCTCTCATTTCTCCTTTTTTCAAATGCATGATAAAATATTACAAATAACTCAGTCACAGACTTGGCAAAAATGGCTTTCAGACACATGGAGAGAATAGTGTCACAAAAAATCAAGGTTGTTCAGATCCTATCACTTTTTAAATAACTACCATGCCCAGAACTAAGAACATGGTCAAAGTGATGTGAAGATGCTAAGAGATAAAGAACTCTAAATGTGCATGTTAAGTCATTCATGGTTTGCCCAAGAAAAGGACAGTGCTTATGGCTTATAGCTACTGGTTGAATGGCTGCAAATGGGAATCATGAAATTTAGCCAATATGTAGGATATACAGGGTGCCCAGAAAAAAGTACACCATTACATTTTTATAAGTTTCTCTGCAACCAGGAGACTGAACTGCCTAAAAATTTGAATAAAAAGAGTTCACATAATCAGAAAACATGCCTTAAAATATTAGGTGAATCTGTTTGACCTGATCCCTGATTCATATAATTTAATGAAATGATCTCAAAAATAGACAAAACTGTTCATTTTATCACCTCAGTTCAAACAAAAAGAACAATCATTGTAAGTAAGGAACAATCAGCACATTAGTTTATCTTTGAAGACAGTGAGACATTGACATCTTTCCAGAGACTCAAATAGTGCATCGAAGCTGGAGGTGGCAATTTTGAAAACAAGTGATTCAATTATGATCCTGAGATTGTAAACTTTGTTTTTGTTCTCACTGTTTGGTCACATTTGGTCAATTTCAAATCTTAACCATTAGAATATTGGGTTTATTAAGGAAGACCTAATTCCAATTTTGAAATTTGGACATAGAATATGATAATAATCTCAGGCAATTTGGTGAAAAATCTTGTGGAATAGACTTGAAATGTCATCTGGCAATCGTAGGTGAAGCAGTGTGTGTCCACACTTCTCAAAATCCTTGACAACATTATTCAAGATCCCAGCGAGCCTAAATATCGGAAGATTCGAGTGCAAAATAAGGCTTTTCAGGAGCAAGTGGCTAGTATGGAGGGAACCATAGACTTTCTCTTTGGGGCTGGCTTTGAAGAGCAGCAACTCCCTCATCAGGATGCCACAGAAGCTTTCTATGTCTTCCCTCCTGAAGGAAACATTGATACTCTCAAGGTACTGTTTCTCAACAGTTTTGCATGCACCTCATAATGAAAAGTACTTGACAGTTCATGATGTGGGTCAGATGTTGCGAGAGGCCCTGATATCTGCAGAGCCAATCAAGCCAGAACTGGATCGTAACATGCATGTCTTCTATCCCTCATCCACCACAGTAGTGGAACACATGGAAATTCCACCTGACTTTTTCATCCCATCAGTTGCAGATATTCGCAAGGAGCAGACAAATAGGTCAGTTTGCTCTTCTGATTTTGAAAAAAAAAAAGGAAAACATTTTTTCAGTCAAACATCTACTTATTTGTGTGTGAAAATCTTGATGAAGTAATGGGAATATGTTTTGTTTTTGCAGGACAGAGGAGGTGGAGCGCCTGTCTTTATTGAGGACTAAGGCCATGAGGGATAAGGAGGCAATGAGAGAAGCCAAAAAATATCGCTATTCCCTCATCCGTATCCGCTTCCCTGATGGATTCTTGCTTCAGGTAAGAAACTATGGGAATTCTAACATCATCATTTGTTGATGTCACTTATAAAGCACAGGAGTGCCCAATCACCTTGTGAGAATCATCATGCATTATAGATCTTTCCATGTACATTCACTCCTGTGAGACTCGCATTTCATTCCCATGCAGGGATTCCAAAATCTGTACATGCCTGGTCTCTGAAACTAGCAGCTATCATTGATTTCTTCTTGTTCATGCTTAACTTGCCTTTCCAGCAAGTCTGGCAATATCCATTAACTGTGATCAGAATATAGCCTGATGTGCATGAGTCATTATGCTGATGCTGATTCTGATAATTGATTCATTGCTCATTTTTATTCAAAACTATACCAGAAATCAAATTCAGAGTGATACCTTGAATAAATCATCTCAAATGTGCAGATTCTGATCTGAAATTTTCCTGGCAGAGCATTTCGATCTCTTAATGTATCAACAAAATGCTCTTATTTAAATTTGAGTAGTATGAAGAAAGTGATAACCTAACTGATACAAGTTACTAACATTGGTACAGTACCTTTGAGATGCCACCTGCTTCTTGGTGTGATTTTGTGGTCAATGCCAAATCCTCAATTTTCTCTTCTTCCTCCCCAAGGGCACATTCTCTGTGTATGAGAAGTTCTCTGCTGTGGAGGGATTTGTGAGGGAGCAACTGGACAACCCAGATCTTCCATTTATCCTAATTGATCCTTTGGGTCATCAGCTTGGAGCTGAGAATTCTGGGTCCACTCTCCTAGATCTTCATCTTGCCCCGGCTCTGATCCTCAACTTTCTCTGGCATCCTGACATTGCAGCAGATGTTGAGGCAGCCAAATCAGGGTATCTCAGCTCCAGTGCCCTTGCCATTGTTCAAGATCTTTAGTCATCACCTCTCATCTTGCATATTATGGGCTGCAATTGTGATTCACAAGGCTGGGTGAAATGGGATTCAAGGACTTAATGGTATTGGTGTGCCACCTCATCGCCCTCTTGTATGATAATCCCTGCTGTGTGAACCCTTTACTATATTGCTCTCATTCTCATTTCATGCTTGAAACCCATCCTGGACCCTTCCATGCATCCACCTGTTCTCCATATCAACTGTTAGTGCTGATGAGTTCTCATTTGCAGGACCATTTGCAATGTGGGAAATATTTCTTAGATAAACAATTTGAAAATATTGCTGCATATTTTGGAAGCTCACTGCTTTCCTGATTCCTATTCACAAGGGGAAGATTGGACCCCTTAAAGTCGAAGCTGACCTAGCAGTGAGATCTTCACATCCAGGGCACATTTAAGGATTGAAAGGAAGTGCTATCCTAATGTTTTTGAGCTCTCTGTTCCATGGCCTCAATGGAGGTTAAATGTGTCTGCTTTATTCCCATGTGTTCCTTTATTCTGGAATATCTGATTATATGATTTTAGTGGTGCCCTATATCGTCAATGATCTGACAAAAGGATAAATATGCAATTTCAAAAATATTCACTAGAGCAAGAATTCGTCCTATTTTTGGACTGCAGATTGAGAAATGAGGAATATTCGCCTTTGCACCTGGAAGCTGAGAGTTGCGGCTCTATGGTGGAAAAGGGGCATTCTTCAATAATCATCGCATTGTATGAAAAAAAAAGGAATTGTAAATTTTATTAATTGCCTATTCGCCCTTTTGTTAGTTCTTCGACAATATGGAGCTTTGTGGATTCCCATGTATTGCTCGATCGGCTTCAACTGCGAAGCACTTCCGAAGCGTCCAGTTATTGTGATTAAGTGGGAAATAAATTATCATTTGTCTTTCGCTCGCCTTTTGAAGCCCATGAGGGTGTTTTATTGGGTGTCATGGTTGCACATTTTCCTCCTAGGAGGTGAGGGGTTCATACTAGCGGATCAGTCACGAAGGGAAGCAATTAGGCATTTATCACAGTTGTCTGCGTTGACCTGAGTTTCTTCGCTTCCACAATTCTTTGCTTGAAGTCTTCTTTAGTCGTTTCAACGCCGAAAACTAGGACTTAAACAAATTCTCCTTTTTGTATGTTATCTGAAGCCATGTCCATTCAGATGAGAATCCGAACGTGCTCAACAACTGCTTCACATGACCCGTAGCCATTTTCCGTTGCGAAACGTTGCGATTCATGGTGAACTTCATTTTTCCGGGCCATCTGAGTGTGGTTGTCCAGTGTAAAAACTAGCGCCTCTCCTACGAGACATGACTCGAGGTCATTAGATTCTGGAGGTGATAGCAAGCAAATCGAATGTTTTAGAACACTGTCAACTAAAGGTAGAAACAAATACTTGAGGGTGAAGAAAACGGAAAAACCAATTTTGGAGATTCAATATCTTTTACTGAGTGTTAGTAAGAATGAGGGAGACTGGCCCATTTCTACATTGTTTCTGGTGAGTTAGAAACCGTGATGCTTTAGTGCCCTTGAAAGCATCCGCGCTGAAGGACCCCAATCGCCAAAATCCCGTCGCGTCTTCTCCCCTTCGATCCATCTGTCGTGGAATCTGATTTCGCGTCTTTGAACGTCCGATTCGCGGAATTAGGGGTTGCCCGTTCCTCCCCCTGACGAAAGTTCCTTGGAACTTCCTGAAGAGGCCCACTCAGATCCTTGCTTCCAACGAAGACAAGGGATGTGTGAAGGCTCGCTGCTCTTCGCCTTCCTCAACGTGACTGACTTGATCCTCAGCCCAAATTGAGACATTTGGAAACGTCCAATCTTGGCGGTTCGTTGAGAGATTACCCCCATGAACATAGGTTGGAGAAGGAATGGAGACTGATACATCGAGGGATGTGAAAACCTCATCTACATGTCAACGGTAATTGAGTGAACGAACTGGCGAGAGCTGATCCGTCTTCGCCTCATCCGATTCCACGCCAGGCGAGGTCTGGAATTGCGGGTCACAAAGGCCACGCGGTTCTGTCGAGTCCAAAGCAATCCCAAATGATCGAATGCAGGAATGATGGAGGCTCCCGGGCCCTGTCCATTTCCCCACTTAAGATACCGTTTATTTCGATGGCTTAAACATTGTCTGTTAGACGCTGCATGCGACCGATTCATCAATCACCCTCTTTGCACATAGCATCGAATCGAATGAACAGACTGCGCGGGATGAAATTACGTCCATTACGTGACTCAGAGAAATGTTTACTCATCGTTTCATTGTCATGTCTAGTTTTACATTTCACAGCTTGGATCGTTCCCTGTTGGAATGTGAAGCATTACAGACCGCTCTTTAGGAAATAAAAAAAGCAGTCTGCATGAAAATTAGACCGTAAAGGTGAGGAGCATAAAACGTGGCCTGTAACTGATGGAATGAATATATAAAAATGAAAATAAACCGGAGCCGAGAACGCCTTCGATGTCACCGAGTGATTTCTCAATCCAAAATGGTTCCTGTCAGGTCCTCCATTGGCAATACTCTCGATTTTTCCCCTTTACGTACGATAAGAACCGGCTCCGCAACGTCGAGTATAGCTACCATGATATCAACATTTACTCGATGTAGTGCTGATTGGGGAGACAGGGCAATGTAGAGCAAAATAAATATTTTCCCACTTTATTTTCTGACACTGGCGGAGATCACTATTCCCAATTGAGGCTAATCGAATTCTATCGCATAGAATTCAAGTGAGGTAAAAAATAAATAAAAATCCCGACATATACTAATTTTCTGAGTTCTGTCTCATAGTATTCGAATGAGACAAACCAAAGGAATTTAGAACTCCCATTTTTCAGATGAAGAAAGTAGGAAGCTTCCAGCCATCAGAGGCCCCTATTGTACCTTTAAACCAATTTTCTATAAGTTCTGCCTCATAGCATTCTAAAGAGACGCAATGTGTTCGAATTTCAAATTCAAAGGGAGTTTAGCTTCGTTAAGAATGAAGTTTCCGGTTGGGCGCAGGCGAAGATTTCATCAGAGACGGCGAGTTTTGATATTTAGAGGTCTAAGCGGGTTGCGGGCCGGCCCGATCGGCGGGACACGATCGGGACGGATCCGCAAAACTCGGTCGGCGATCGAGCTCCGGGTCGGGTCCGAAAGAGCTGACCCGTGCAGGCCTCCGGCGGACAGACGGAGAGCGTCAACTGTATATTATATGGACTCAATTCGATTCATCTCATTGGAGACAATTCATATTGATAAGAACTTCAGGAAATTATTACTCGGATAGTAAGGGGCCAGGTCTGGTGTTAAATGAACCGGTTCCGAAAATAATCCAGGGAAGAAGGACGTAATTCGAAGCATAAACGTGTCTCAACGACGCAAGTGGCGACCATGACGAAGCCGAGTGAAAGTGAACCCAGGATGCATGACGTCCTCCCGCGAGAATCCAATAGCTGAATCCTGGTTACAATATTTAGAAACTGGTGGAATATTGCACGAGTTCTGATGGCTTCACTCTACTGTGTTTCCTATGGAAAGCGGGGGAAAATATGGATCGTTATCGTAGGATTTCAGTATTCAACTCGATGAAAGAGACCCTTTTTTTGCATCGAAATTTTTTTTTCCAAGCTTATGTTATTATTGCCAAGTTTCAGTATGGACGGAGGTCTCAAATGCATTATTGGAAAATTCAATTTCTCCCGATCTCATCGGGCATTTCCTCTCGCGGGTTCAACTCGTGTCACCTCTTCCTGTTAAACGGAGTTAGTAAGTATAGGAGATACCCGCTAGGTGTCAGGAGTGGTCCTGCCATCGGCCTTCAGCTTCTTTCTCTTCCGAACCCTGCTCCCAATAACCTCTTTGAGCCTATCTTCCATTCCGTCTCCTTTCGCAAGCCGGTGAGTTTCAGTAATGCAATATTCGATATTTGAAGTCAAGGTTGAGATCGTTAGGAATGATGCTTGAGGGTGATTTCGTCGTGGTCATGAAAAGTAGCCTAGTTGCGATAACCCATGCGATAGACGTGCACAACTGCAGGCCTAACGTTACTGTCAAATCCATCTCTTCACGACCTGTTTCCGTTTCTGCAGGCTAGCCTCTTCTAAGCTGCAGAACGGAAGTCATCCTCAAGCTTTGTCAATGGCTTTGTTGCCATTCAATGCGGAGCGATGCAAGTAAGCCTGTATGTCTACGTGAGGGCGTAGAGTGCGGACTCGTGTTCAATAAGTGAACTTCCCGTTCAATATTTCAGCGCAACTATTTTCCGTTTGCATCTCCAATAAATCGGGGGAACATGGCGTTAAATATAATGCAAATGTTCTCTGGATCCCGTGTGGGAAACAAGGGCGAAACCACCGCCTGAAAAAAGGGTTTCTAACTCATCAATCACGGGATATAACGTCTATATCCCCCCCCTTTTTTTTTTTGCTTTCATCCCCTCTGATGCCTCTTTAACTCTTCTAATCGCGCTATTTCCTTTGCAAAATCTCCTGTCACCCGGCCGCCCCTTCATCTAAATACATCTACATTCAGTTCAGTTTTAATCCCAACTTTTTTTTTTTTAATTGAGGAGTCGATCCCCTTGTGCACGGCAAGCATTAGTTGTGAGATGATCGGAATCGCGAATATTTCTCTAAAGTCAAATGCGAATTTTTTCTCTGTTGGCCTATATACAATATGTGGGGGAGGGGGAGAAAGAAAGAGACACGCGACCCTGCATTTGCAGCAGCGCGGTCCGATTATGAATGCTAAAGAGGCAAAAAGTCAGGCTTGGCGATAAGCCTCGTGAGAGAGAAAAGGGAATCACCTCTCTCTCTCTCTCTCTCTCTCTCTCTGCCAATCTTTTTATATGGGCCTAAGCTAATGCTACCAAAATAATCCGCATTTATGCGTCAAGCCTGTACGTAATTCCTGTCGCTCTATCCTGTATACAAATATGGGAATCGCGGTCGAGGATTAAATCCTCGTGTTCTCACAGTGATTTTCATTTGGGAACTTAATTTTTCGATAGGTTGTGGAATGGTTTTCGAACGTCTCTTTCAACACAGGGATGATGGCTGCGGTCCATCTCCGTGGATTTCTTTCTTCTTTGAGAGATCCTCAGCTGGCACGCGGCTTTCCTGGAAAGGGAATGTTGCGGGACCTCATCATGAGGCACATCACCATTAATATTCTAGGCCGCTTATTTATTCCCGAAAGAGCTCGGGAACCATTCCTCAGTTCGATGGTGATCGATTGCGTCGATGGCATGCTTGTTCACCTTGCCTAAGTCCTATATGCAAGGTACTATCCATGTGTGAGCCGGATTTCTTAGCCGAGGTAACCCGGATACGAATTCCAACCGAGCAGATAGGACCTTGTGTTCAGTAAAATTCTACACGGACTGGCTTTTAAAGAGTTTTATTCCTCATCCAGGGACTAGTACTTCTTGCAACACCAGGATCCGATTCGTGATGTCATCCACGATGCATCGCATCTGTTCCCTTCGCGAAGGCCCTCACAGGGAGACTCCTCGAGCGGTAAAAGTATCCAAACCCTGGTTGACCCAGGTTGCGAACCCTGTCCCGATCGAACAAGATTTTTTATTACTGGGTGAGGAACCCGTTCCTAATCGAAAGTGTCTAAAGTGCTATATTCAGAATTCTATGCGTCGGTCGTGTCTAATCTCACTCTGTCAGTGAGAGTTAGTGCGGAGTGGTCAGACTGGATGGCGGACTCTGAAAAGGGCAGAGGGTCACGGCGACTGGTAGGGATCCACGATTATAACCCTCTCGCGTCTGGTCTCTTGTGTTCATTCGTATTGTGGGCCTTAATGTTTTCCTTGAAATTCTTCTTGTAACCCATTTCCATCCTGTTTTCTTCAACCCGTTCTGTAAAATAGAATTTCGTCGTATCGCCCGCTGATATCACACCGTCACAGGCA